TAAGAACAACATCTACTGCAATACTATCGCACCGAACGCCGGCACGGCCATGACACGCACCATCTTACCTGAGGAATTAGTCCAGGCTTTCAAGCCTGACTATATTGCCCCTCTTGTTCTTGCTCTTTGCAGCGATAAGGTCCCTAAGAACCCCACGGGCTATCTATATGAAGTAGGTAGCGGCTGGGTTGGCCGGACGAGGTGGCAGCGAACCGGAGGCGTTGGCTTCCCTGTCGACGTCAAGCTGCTCCCCGAAGAAGTTGCCAAGAACTGGGCCAAGATCGTCGATTTCGAGGACGGCCGAGCCGACAACCCTGAAAAGGCCCAGGACTCAGTGGAGAAGATGTTGGCCAACATGGAGAACAAGCGAGGGGCATCTAAGGTATGACGGTCTTTTCTTTTTCCTTGATGCTCTGTGTTTGGAATATGCGATGTATATATAGCTTGTAGTCTAGTGCTTAAATGAAATATTTATTGTTAACATATCATTCTTGCCCAGAGTCCCCAGAGCCCCCAAAGTCCCTCCCAAGGCAAAGGCAACCAGTACCTCGAAGCCCAACAGAAAGCTATATCTTCAGAGGCCCCATCCACCGAGTTTACGTACTCAGAGCGTGATAGCACGCTTTACAACCTGGGCATCGGCGCTAAGCGGACCGAACTGGCGTACGTGTTCGAGGGTCACGAAGACTTCCAAGTCCTCCCGACGTTCGGCGTGATCCCCCAATTCGACGCCAACATGCCGTTCAGCTTCGACGACGTGGTGCCCAACTTCTCTCCCATGATGCTGCTCCACGGCGAGCAGTATCTCGAGGTGAAGAAGTACCCGATCCCGACGGCGGCCAAGACCAAGAACTACGCCAAGCTGATCGAGGTCGTGGACAAGGGCAACGCGGCGGTGCTGAAGAGCGGCGTGACGACCGTCAACGCCGAGACGGGCGAGGAACTCTTCTACAACGAGGCCACCGTGTTCCTGAGAGGATGCGGCGGCTTCGGCGGCCAGAAGAAGCCGGCGGATCGAGGCGCCGCGACGGCGGCTAACAAGCCACCTAGAAGACACCCTGATATCGTCGTCGAGAGTGCGACGACGGAGGAGCAGGCTGCTGTGTACCGACTCAGCGGTGATTACAAGTGAGTTTGCCACCCTCCTCCCATCTATCTACTATCTACCTAGGTACCTATTTGTTCCAGAGCGCTAACCATCATCAACTCTACTCCAGCCCCCTGCACATCGACCCCGGCTTCGCCAAGATGGGCGGGTTCAAGGTGCCGATCCTGCACGGGCTCTGCTTCATGGGCGTCGCGGGCAAGGCCGTGTACGAGAAGTTCGGGCCCTTCAAGAACATCAAGGTCCGCTTCGCCGGCACCGTGGTTCCCGGGCAGACGCTCGTCACGGAGATGTGGAAGGAGGGCCCCGCCAAGGTCGTCTTCCAGACCAAGGTCAAGGAGACGGGCAAGCTGGCCATCTCGGGCGCCGCGGCCGAGCTGGTCGGCGGTGCGGGCCAGGGTGGGAAGTTGTAAGTATCAAGGTGCATGTACATATTATGTATGTGCCTTTTTTTTTTTGGAGGCTGAGATGTGTAATGGATCAATGAACTGTGTAGGATGACACGTGGAGAATGGAAGCATTTATTAGCATGAAAGATCTTTTTTTTTTAAATGTTTTTACTGGGAGTACAAATAAGTTTGGCATCTATTTTTTATTTCTCTAGTTAAGGGATTTAGGTATGTAGTTTGAGATATGGTATATACCTTTTATCTACCTAGGTAGTCATGGATGAATCTAAACATATCTAGTTCTGTATGCGTTGCTCTGAATACCTAGGTACGTCGTGTCCGTTATTTGTTGTCTTTGTTAGAACGCATGTGTCATTTGTACGCTTCCTTGAATTTCTTCCAGGGTGGTAGTAGCATCGGTTGTCTTGAATTTCCTAGGCCACCTAGACTATGGACAAAGAAAACCGGAATTAATATTCATCTCTAAATATCTAGCAGGGGAGAGAAACAGAAGGAGCATAGGCACCTAGGAATAGAACCCAGGCGGCACATTTGATATAAGGCCGAGCTTCATGTTTGTGTTTGGCTGTTTTGCTCACAGCATCTACTTTTTTTTTTTTTTTTTTTTTTTTTTTTTCATCTACCTAAATTTACGTCTAAAGGAGCGCTTACACCTATATTACCAGAGGCCAGGGCCTAGGACGCGACGGTGCATATTACTATAATGAAATCTGAAAGGTGTAAGTGATACTATTCCGTTCCCTCTACCCCCTTCCGTATTATACCGCTCCCGTATTTTATGTACGCCAACTCCCAATGCAATGCCATGCTATGCTCGCTTCTGACGGGGTTTGGCTCTAAAATGCAACTCAGCTAGTACCGATGAATGCTGCTCCATCTTTCAAAAAAAATAAAAAATCAATCTCATAGTCCATGAACTCCATGCCTTTTTACCGTCCCTTCTTCCATTGCTGTCATACAAATAAAGTTTCTATAATAGAATCACAGAGCTCCTCGATGCTTGGGAACTTGCCTCCTGGAAGTAGCCGTGCCAGGTATCTGTCTGTCCCCTTGTCTCGAGTAAACGGACCAGCACCGTCTTCAAGGTACGCTCTCTCCGCGTCGGAAAGCTCGCGTTTCTCGGATGCTCTCCACATCTTTTCTGCCTCCACCTTGGCCTTCCGGAGGACTTCTTCCGTGTCCTCCGCCTCCCATAAATTACATTTGTTGCACTCTTTACATTGTCGCCCGTCGCCCTCGGGTCTAAAGTGTTGGCAAAAATGCTGGTAGCCTTCGGTCGGTGTACCGATATCCTTACGACAGACGTAGCACATTTTGTACCCGCAGGGACAGGTCAGTTTGTTGCATCCGGTCAGCTTAACAAATGACATGTTGCACCGCGGGCAGACGCGTTTGATTGCCATCGACATTGCTTGCTCTACTTGCGTGCGTAGAGCAACAAGAGAGGACTCGTGACAGATATGTATGTCCACCCATGCTTTTGAGCACGACATGCAAGACGACCGCAGACAAGCGGGGTTCTGACAGATAAATTTCAATCCACGACGACGACGCTGGTATCGGTTTAAAGCCCCTCGTAGGTGCGAGAACACGTAGTCCCTAAATGACTGGTTCAAGCAGAGCACCAGGTAAACTAAAGCTAGAATAAGAACGGGGATGTACAACGGCGACAAGACTAGGCAGATAAAAAGGATGATAAGATTCGGGAGATTGCTGGTACGAAGCTTAGGCCTGGGAGAGTTAGCTGGTACGTATAGGTCGTCGACTTCGGCGTAACTGCAGAACGGACAACGAATAAGGGGCAGACCGCTCGACAAGAGGTCGTGTTCTACTAGACGTTGGTCGAGTGTTCGTAAGACTTCGTCCCCGTTCTTTTCATCACGCATAGCTCGACGGATGTGTTCGGATGAAATGCAGCCCTCGCACTCCGAAGATGCCACGGCGGGGCACCGAAGAGCACCTGTTTCTTTCTCGATCGTACGCTGCCAACCCTGTCCGAAGACCGCCTCGCTGATGGAGTGTCGCACGCAGCGAAAGCAGACTGGATGAGCGTCGGCGCCGCATGTAGTGAGTTCCTCAAATATGACATCGGAATAGCAGCAAGTACACTCGTACGTTGCCTCATAAGCTTCTGCCTCCTCAGTGAGGAGAGAGACGGCCAAGGCTCTGTCGCTTTCCTCCCTCGTATGCTTCTCGCGTTGTTTTAATGGCATAATCAACTCGTCGAATAGCTCTTTATCCAATTCGGCACTGCCTGTTGCCTTCACAGTTGGTACCATCGAGCCGTCGTCGGAAGCCCTCCATATTATAAGGGGATGTGTCTCCGCCTCAGTAGATGTGACCGGTTTGCGGCGAAAGAGCAAGGAAGAGATGGTAAACTTCCACGACTTGGAAGATAGGTCTACAAGGGTCGGTCGGGCATCAAGGTAGGAGAAGTTGGACTCGGACAAGACGGCCTCGATGGAGGATTTGGATAGGCCCTTGAATTCCTGCATCGCTAAGGCTCGCACCGCATCCTTGTATTCCGAAGTCCTGAACGCATCGGTCCGCGGGACTAGAGTGATCGAGTCGGAACTAGTATTTTCTCCAGCTCTACGCCGCCCCTTTACGTATAAGCCGGGATTTTTGAGTAACTTGTCCGTGATGATGAATAATCGCGACTCTTCTGAAAAAGACGTAAGCATCTCCCTGAATACCTCTATCTGCACGTCGGGGAATAGGGCGGCGAGCATTTCGAGGTTGTTGTTGAGTTCGAGCACATCTTCGGGGGACGGGAAGACGGGCTGGAGTTGGGATTCGTCTGCGAGATACTCAGGAGAGGCGATAGAATCATGATTCCGCGCCCGCGATGGCGAGACTTCAGGGGAATGTCTGGACGATCGGGACTTGTTGGACTTGAAGGAGCCCCTCCGGCCGGACGGGGCACTTAGAAAGCCCGAGAAGAACATGTCTTGCTTCAAGTGAAGTCGAGTAAGCAAAGCATGATTGTCCGAAGCTCGTCGTCAAATGTTGTTGGAGGGTCGGATCGCGATAGGAAAATTAGGACCGGGGGACCCTGCTAGGACCAGTTATAGATCAGCAAGTTTATATGCGTACATGTATGAAGACTCAAGCTCCCATGCGCAGTTCAACTCGACAACCACAAGATGACTATTATCATCGAACTACAGAAGAAGAAAAAAAGGTTGAATGGGTTTAGGTTAAGTTGATGAAAATGATTCACACTAAAATAGAATTGCGTCGGACAAAATTCTAGGACGAGGGCCTAGCACCTACCTTTTCGACATATGACTTTAACCTGGAAGAGGATGATTTCCCATTTTCCATTTGATTTTAAGGGTTGAACCTACCCAAATTTCGCAAGTGGGGCTGGAAGCAACCCGGGCAGCCAGGGTTAGAAGACATGGATTACCTGGCTAATTAGCTAGGAATATAGAGAGAGAAAAATGCATTCTGGACATTCCAGAAAGGTTCAATACCTTTGAGGCTCAATGGTCTAGTGGTAGGATACTCGCTTCGGGTTATAAAGATCCAGTCTCTTTAAGAGATTATGTGAGTGGTCCCGGGTTCAAATCCCGGTTGAGCCCATTTTTGTTTGCCCATAAACTTTGAATTCGATATTTAATTATTATTTCTATACTTTTTATTTTTTCATCATCAACAACCCGATAATTTCTTCTTGTCAAATTGCAAACTCGCCATTGAAACTATTGGCATACTGGCACGATCTGTGGCGATTAGGTAACACCAAAATAGCCAAGAAGAATCATTAATAAGCCAATCCGATTTTTACTTACTAACATGCCTCAATTATCAAAATTCACCTTTTATCGCAATGCCTGTGTATCTACTGTAACTTCGACTATACCTACAGACCAAGTCGAGCCACTAGATGGATCAATGAGGTACCTACCTATTTATACTCTTACCTAGTCCTCGGTGACCAAGGCCCCCAAAAGAATATCTAGGGCATTTGCTCTCTATAACTATTTTCACAGTCGGAGGAAAGGATCTAATAGCAAAAACATATATTTTATTTAGTACTCCCATTTTTTTCTTGAAAAAGAAAACTATGTACTACGAAAACAAGGAAACAAGAGCGAACGCCAAGGGAACATACCGAAGGAGAAAGCTGATGCCCGCATCAACAAGTTACGCTACACGATACTCTCGTCTCTGAGATCAGTTATTAAAAACAAATTAGTAGGTAACTAAGCGTGGTAAGCATGACGAAGAATTCGGAGTGAATTCTACTTCGCTGATAGCTAGGGTTTCGGAATAGAACGGTATGTCATGTTCTTTTGCCCTTTCCTATCGTCGATTACCTATGTGGGTAGGTAGGTAGGCAGGCTACTTAGTACGGGTAAAGCCTGTGCTTTCGTCGCGGGTGTCGCTCGCCGTAGCTTCGGCCGGATCTGAAATATCCATCTCCACCTCCGTACCGGTTCTCCGGCTGTTGACCCCTGATAGGCCCAGTAACCACATATGCAGGTCCAGTGGCTCTAGCAGCTCTAGCAGCCCTAGTGACTCCAGTAGCTTCGGAAGGCTCAATGTCAGCAGAAGTCGGGCGCCGAGAACCCGGACGAGTATTGGGCGCAGTACTCTCGGGCGCGGTAACAGCGGTGGTAGTGGCGGGTGCAGTAGTACCAGCGGCGGTAGTACCAGCGGTGGTAGCAGGAGCAGTAGTAGCAGCGCTGGTGGTAGTAGGAGCAGTAGTAGTAACACCGGTGGTGGCATCGGCGGTAGTAGCGGGAGCAGTAGTGGCAGCGGCAGCGGCAGTGGTGGCGGGTGCGGTAGTAGCATGGGAGGCGGACTTGTTGCCCCGCTGAGTAGCGGCGGAACCATCCTTAGTTCTGCTACTAGGGCGTGTGCGTACCCGAGGTCCCTCGGTAGGCCTGGTTTTGGAAATGCCAACGTTCTGGTTGGGTTTACCTGCTGGCTCCACGGGCTTCTTGGTAGGCTTCTTGGTAGTCTTCTTGGTAGTCTCCTTGGCAGTCTTCTTAGCAGTCTTCTTGACAGTCTTGTTGGTAGGCCGAGTTGTACCGGGGGGCTGTGTTGCGAAAAGTGAAGATGCGGCCAGGCCTGTGGTCGTGGGCACTGAACCAGGAATGGCACCAGAACGTTGGTTCGAACTTGCCGCGAAGATGTTTTTACCCAGGGCTGCGGGGCCAAAAATACTTGAAGCACCAGCACCGGCTGTGGCGGGAATGGTACTTCCAGAGACTGTTGCTGGGGGTAGCTGCGTCGCGGGAGCTGAAGGTCCGGCTGGGGTTTGGGCCGTGGCGGCTGAAGGTGCGGTTGAGACTGCATTACCATCCTTGCCCCCCTCTGACGGAGCCTTGTGGACCCATGTACCAGTGGCAGGATCCTTTTCGACAAGCAGCTTATAACCATACTTGTTCCATAACTCATCTTTTTCAGCTTGGGACTGTACACGAGCGGTACCACCGACACCACCAGTACCACCGACACTACCACCAGTAACACCAGTAACACCAGTAACACCAGTACCACCAGCAGTGGAAGGGATTTGTGTCGTGGACGTTAAAGGTTCAGCCGGGGCCGTAGTCGTTTTTGGATTGTTAAGACCATATAAGTTGCGCAGTGTCTCAGCAAAATCTTTCCCGCGAGCAGGACTTCGGGGGCCATAGAACGTGTCGTCTTTAGCAGTCTGAACAGTAGTAGCGGCACCAGAAGCTGTCGTCGAGGGGCGCTCCTTCAACCCGGGCCCTGAAGGCGCGGCCGGGGAAGTATTTGAAGCGACAGCAGGGGCCAAGGAAGGAGTAATACCAGAAGCGTTCGCCACAGGGGCTTGGGTTGTAGGGACGGAAGGCACGGCTGGGGCCTCAACTCTGTTCGGGTTCTTAACGACAACAGTTGGTCCCCCCCGCGGAGCACTGTAGATTAAGTTACCTGTAGCACGATCTCTTGTAACTCTAACCCCGGTAGGATATTGACGATACAAGGCATCTAATTCAGCTTTCGACTCATCAGTAATGGCAACGGGGCGTTGACCAGGAACAGCACCAGGAGCCAAACCAGGGAAAGTCTGGGTCCAAGGAGTCCGAGGCTTGGCTTGGGTACCATCTAAAGGGGAAGCAGGGGCAGCAGGGGCTACAGGGGCTGGCGTGACAGCCGGAGCAGATGGTCCAGACGCAGGGACAGTGCCAGTAGCTGTATTCGAGATGACCTGGGCTTCAGGAGCTGAAGGCGCAGTCGTGGTAGGGACAACAGGTTTTGAAGAGTTGGCGGTAGAAGCTTGGGTGGTAGAAGCTACAGGTGCAGCCGGGACAGCAGGTCCAGAAGCAGTGCCAGCAGCCTCTTGAGATCCAGGCTCGGGGATGGATGTCCCATCCTGCGTCGTTTGGTACTCATCCTCCACCGGCTGAGCACGGTACTCAGGGTTTTGCAGTGCACCATCCTCCCCTCGATCAGGAAGACCACACTCAAATAATCTTTGAATGACACCCCTTTGCTGTTTGAGCTTTTCTACCATGTCAGCAATCTCTATACACAGGTCAGGATCCGTTTCAATGATACCGCTTGCTCGTAATATCCGGAGAGTAGTCTCATGTCGTCGCAACACCTCTTGCGTGCTCCATACTTCGCTAGAAATAGGCCCATCACGGCCCAGCGTTCTCCTATGAATGTTGTTCTGCTCTACTTGCTGCCATTTAATGACGCGCATTATCTCTCGATCCGCCCTCTTGAGCTCTCTCTCGACCTGGTGCCGAGTTGGTACTTGAGTAGCCATGGCGACCTTGCTTTAGAGTGCTAGTGAAATTTGGGGTTGCTTCTCTAGAGATGCAAAAAAAGACGGAATTCAGTTTGTTTGTATTAAAAAGTGTTGGTGTTTATGTTGTAGTAAATTGGGTTGACGAGGAGAGAAAAAATATCTTGAAACTTGTAGGCCAGGTACCTCTTATATAAAACACTTTGATGGAAGACCACTACTATCCTTTCTGAACAAAAGAAATACAATGAAAGACTGTGTTGGTGCAAACAATCGCATTGTTTCCATACATGGCATGAAGACTAACCAGGTAGCCCAAGAAGTTGAGAACGCTTCTTTCTCCTCTACTCGCTCAAGAACAATCTAACCAAAGCAGCATTGCAATTGAAAGGCCCTTTACCGTACCCACAAGGCACCTTAACTAGAATACATTGTTCTTCAGTCAAATGGTGGTTACCTAGGTCTCTAACCTAACCTGATGTAAGAAGTTTTGGCCAGGCAATGAGGACTTCATGCGCATTGCTACACGTGGACCATCGTCAATCTAACAGCCAGATAGAAAAGTCTACCACCTTTTGCCTAGGTAGGTAGGCATGTATCTAACGTAATGAAGGATTTTCACCTAGATCACATGGCGTGACTGGAGGAAAGCATAGTGACTAGGTGGGTAAAACACCATGGAGCGAGCTGGTAGAAATTAGGAGGGGAGAGTAAATCATAATGAGTTGGAGCGAGACGGTAATCCCTTGGAGAAAATCCAACGGAACCCTATGAATAGTTTCTCTGATCAGAGGTGAGGCATAAATACTTGTATATGCTAAACCACCTAGTCGTAATGTGTGTGGTATTAATCTCCGAGACACTGTCCATTGATAACAGGTATTGACTTCGGAGTCATTATTCTTGTAATAATGAAAACTCGGGGATCAAGACTTATGTGTGACGTGGAATAACCTGTAATCTTCTAAAATTTTGATACTTAATGGAACCCTAAAAGTTGAGTTCTCCTTTTCCTTCCCTAGTGTTTTTCGACTACAGCAACAGCACCGACCGAGGCAAACGAGAGCCTATCCTTTTGAGCAAACTAAGTAAAGTACATTCTGATAAGGATTCAGAGATGTCGTCAACGAGCATAAAATTCGTTGAGATTAAGACCGCCCAGGATATCGACAAAATAATGGTGGAGATATCGAAGATCGAGGGCTGGTACAAGGGAAAGTTCATCGATGAAGGAGGAGCCCTAAAGCCCGATACACAAGAATACTTTAACAAAATCCTCGACTGGGTCGCCCAGCATTGGAACAACCTCGAAAGTGCCCAAGGAAATATCCCCGAGGCGCGAAAGGTCCATGACGCGAAGAAGGCTTTGCGGCGCCTGGAGGCAGGCCTGGAGAAGCTTAAGCGGTTTAGCGATATAAAAAATGCTCAGACGAAGTAAAGGAAGTGGTAGCCAACTATGGGTTATTGTCTCTCAGCATGGACAAAAAGGGGTTGCTGGAGACATAAACAGCACAAATGAAATTGAGTTAAGCCGCAACTATTCTCTAGCGCCAGTTATTATTTATCTACCTATGTAACCGTCCAAGTCGTCAGTATAGGCCGTTTATAAGGTAAGCTTCAATGTGTGCGGTTTACCTATCACCTAGGTAGGTAGGAACCTATGAAACGCCAATTCGTTAGTTGTAGAGTGGTGCTAGTATTGGCGTGTAGTACAATAAAAAAACTAGGTAGTATTTATGTAGGGATATTGTGGTTTCCTCGCTCAGAGAGCTAGACATCGATTTGCGCATGTTAGATTTTGGGGAGTTCTTCTTGGGGAGTTCTTCCTATAAGATCCCCTATCTTGAATATTAC